CGCTCCTAAGAGCTGTTGCCAACACACAGCGAACGCTGTGCTAAGATAACTCAGGGTTGGCGTGCGTTCCATGGGGCTTCCGGGTGGCGGTCTCCTTTTCTCTCGCTGGCCAGCTTCTCACCCTGCAAACACCTGTCTTCATCTCCAAAGCAAAACCAGCGTCCGGGCCTGGAGATTTTGCATGGACAACTCCGATGTCACCTGGGGTTTCGAACCCTCAGAAGCCCTCAGACAGGGGCGGGATCCTTACGTCTGCTGGGCCTGAGGTTATGAACACGACACGGAAGGGTGAGGACAGGCGTCCACGAGGGCAGAGCTGAGCGCTGGAAGGGGCTCCTGGCTGAGACCTCAGTGCAGGAGGGAGACAGTTCCCTGGGCAGCGCCGGCGTGGCCCCGACTGGGGCAGGGACCTGGGGACACGCAGCAGGAGTCTCGCCCTCGAGTGTTTTCATGACGGTGGTCGGCCACATAATGCCTGGAAGACGTCCACATCCTGGTCCTCGGGCCCACGGCTGTGTCGCCTCTGATGGCAGAAGGGACTATGGAGGGTGGGATGACGGCGAGGCTGGAGCCGGGAGCATCCTGCTTACGGGGCCAGTGTCGTCACAGGGTCCTTCCAGTCCATCACAAGGAGGGGACGGTGGTGGGAGAGGAGAACCAGGTGACGTGCTGGGAGGACAGAGGAGGGGCCGAGGGATGAGGGAAGGGGACAGGTCCCCCGGAGCCTCCACAGGAACCAGCCCTGGACGTGAGGCCCGGGTCCCACCGGGACCTCAAGGGCGAGTCGTGCCGTTTCATGAGGCAGTTCGTGGTGGTTTATTTCACGGCAGCAGGGGACACACGCAGTCCACGGCGGAGCCGGAGCCATCAAGGCCCCACCGCGAACAAGGAGCAGGCCTAACTGCTCACCGTGTCACCTTCAGAACAGCAGGAGCCAGAGGACGGGCCGTGAGGGTCCCGCGGGTCCCACCCCGAGGCCGAGCCCAGCCCTGGGCTGCCCCACAGACGCTCCTGGGGACCCGGCCCCCACCCGCGCGCTGACCTGGACACCGAACGGCCATGGAGTCGGAGGGGCGGCTCTGCCCGGGGCGCCCCCCGCACCTCGACGGGGGCGCAAGAGGCAGCAAGGAGTCCCGGTGTGGCTGTGGGCCCTGTGGCCTTTCCTGCTGCAGCCATGCCGGGTCTGCTCGGCCCGGGGCTGCCCTGCTCTCGCTAAGCGTGCGGGGGGGGGTCCTGGGACCCGCCTGGCCGAGGGTCCTCAGGGCCTCCTGAGTCGGTCGGACGCACCGGAGCCCCAGCTGCTTTGACTTGGGACGGCCTGCGCCCTGCGGATCACTGCGGCCCCCACCCGGCCCGTCCACACTCCGACTCCACGGATCTGATGGCTCTAAGTGCCTCATATGAGTGGAATCAGACAGGATTTGTCCTACTGAACTGTCAGTTGGCTTGTTTCATTCGGCAAAACGTCCTCAAGATTCGTCCCGCAGGTATGCTTTTACCATCCTTCTTCCTATAAACCGTGAAAAGCGGAGACCTAGCTCTCATTCAGTTACAATGCGTGAGAGCAAATTCTGGACGGAGCCACCACCGGGCACAGGGACTACCAGGGCACCGAGGAGACACGGGCAGCGCTGGACAGCAAGAGCCTGGATTCTAGGGGAGGGCGGACCGCAGGGACGCCCACCCCCAAGCACACGGTGCCTGCGCGGCCTCAGGGGCACAGGGACTTTGCACAGCTCTGCCCGCCACCCTGGGGCTCAGGCCATGTCACCAGCCAGAGGGGACCTGGACGTCTGGCTGCAGAGTCTGTCCTGGGGCCAAGACAAGAAGGCAAAGGGAGCTGGTCCCTGTGCCCAAAGGCCGCGTCCCGGCCACACTGGAGCCGGGGGCTGGGATTTCTGTGCAGTGGGGGCCTCCTTCCAGCCCAGGCGGGGGCCTGGCCACTCAAGGGGTATTTCATGGATCGGCAGCAGGAATCAACTTTCCTCTGAGTCCCTGAATAATGGAGGATAATAATCTTTTTTCTCCCTTGATGCTTTTCTGCACCTACACACAAAAATAACCACCAATGCCAATGCTGCCAGAGATGACAAGAGATGTCACCAGACAGACTGATGAAAAGGGAGCCGCACCAGCTCACTCCTGATTCTTCATGACACTCCCTGCTCCCCCAAGATCGTTTTTCAGGAGGGAATTGGGTGCATTTAAATGGAGTGCTAACTAGAATGTGGGTGCGTTGGCGAAGCGTCCCTGCTTGTCACTGATGGAGGATGAGGACCTCAGGCCCACGGAGCTGTCGGTGCTGTGCCTCTCAGAGGACGCTTTCTGGAGCCTTCAAGAGAAGACCTGAAATCTCACAAAGAAGTTCTTTAGCCACTTAATTAAAATCAGAGATCACACAGAGATAATACTTCAGCCTTGTGACTTTCAAGCTAAATTCTACTGGAGGGCTTCCCTGGTGGCGCACTAGTTAAGAATCCGCCTGCCAATGCAGGAGACACAGGTTCAATCCCTGGTCCGGGAAGATCCCAAATGCCGCGGAGCAACTAAGCCCGTGCGCCACAACTACTGAGCCTGCGCTCTAGAGCCCGCGAGCCACAACTACTGAGCCTGCGCTCTAGAGCCCGTGCTGCGCTACAAGAGAAGCCACTGCAATGAGAAGCCTGTGCACTGCAATGAAGAGTAGCCCCTGCTCATGGCAACTACAGAAAGCCCATGTGTAGCAACAAAGACCCAATAAATAAGTAAATAAAATAAAATAAAAATTTCTACTGGAAAAACCCCAACAAACAAGAAAATAATGAAGGATTCCATGCCCTCCATCCCTGATGCCTCGTGCCTGGAAACTCCCGTGGTCGGACCGTCAAGGGTGCAGCTGCAGGGGACAGCAGGGAGGCTCCCCGCAAAAGTAAACACAGAATCACCACAGAATCCAGCTAGTGCACTCCTGGGATAAACCCCAAAGAACCGAGGGCAGGGACTCACCAGATGTTTGTGCCGTGTCCACAGCAGCGTTATTCCCAACAGCAAAAGGAGGAAGCGACCCAAGTGTCCACGGGCGGATGACGGATGAACAAAGTGAGGCGATACATACGCAGGAGTGTTACTCAGCCCCTAAACAGGAAGGGGTCTGACACCTGCTGCATCACGGATGAACCCAGAGGACACTGTGCTCAGTGAAACAAGACAGTCACAGAAAGATGCTGCCTGTGTGATTCCACTTAAACGAGCCCCTGAAGTTGCTGAATTCACAGAGGCAGAAGGTACAGGCTGGGTTCCAGGGGCTGGGGAGTTAGTGTTTAATGGGGACAAAGTTTCAGTTTGGGAAGATGAAAGATTTCTAGGGACAGAGGGTGGTGATGATTGCCCAACACTGTGAATGTGCTTAACGCCACTGAACTGCACATAAAAATGGCTAAGATGGTGGATTTTATGGGTTTTTTTTTACCACACACACACAGTTGATGAAACATAAAACTTCTTCCTTCCTGTGGCAGTGACAGCACCTACTGTGTGCAGTGCGCCGGGGCTTCGTAAGCACCCCTCACGAGCACATGGCCACACTCACCACGTGCTCACCAACACTGGGGTCCTTACTTCCTAATCTGACGGCTGATTTGGTGAGACAGCACCTGGGTGGTGTGAAGCAGTGTTTCTGGAAATGGGGAAGAGGTGGGTGACAGATGTGAATGGTGGGTGACGTGGGGACCAGATGACGCCTAGAGGATTCTCAGGGTCAGCTCGACCTCCGGTGACGCTGTCATTGGTTGACATAGGGAACTTCTGTTCCCTGATCCCTGTGTAAGTGATTTCCCTCCTCGGATTGTATGGAGTTACTGCTACTGAGGAAGTCCAAACATATCGAGTGTCTTTACAAGCAGAATCCCCAGCTGGGGCCTGATTAAGACAACTGGAAATGACAGCTCAGGAGTCAGACACCCAAACGATGAAGGAGAAGCCAAACCAATTTCCTAAAATTTACATTTAAATCTAATCTTCAGTCAGGATCACGAGGCTCGTGGTCAAGGCCGCTCACAGCTAATGTTCCAGGAGAACAGAGCTCCGTGTCTCTGAATAATGAGCTGACGGCAGCAGGCGAGCTCGGGCTCTACCCCGGACTGCGGAGGGGCTCTCACTGAGAGGCTGACATGAGCTCTGCCCTGCTCTGCCTGGGGCCGTGGGGTTCAAGTCCGAGCCTCTGCCACCCCTGGAAGCTGCAGCTGGGGAGGTTAAGTCAGGACGCCCCTGCCACCCCGTGAGAAAACACAGGCAATGCTTTGAAGGCAACACGAAGCCACATCCTTCAAATACTGCAGCACCTTCTCTCGTCTAAGCCCGGCCCGGACGACACCCACTCAGGCCTTCCCCGAGTGTTTCCGAGACATTCCGTAGTGTGCGCATCGCACAAACGCTGCTGAGCTCTGGGTGACATCCTGACCCCAGGATGACACTTCTGCCCACTGCCTCACGGGACAACAGAGGGGGCAGGAAGTCTACTGTCTGCTCAGAAACGAGCCCCAGCACCTCCACAAAGCCGGCCCTGGGTGTGCCAGAGCTGGGCGCCTGGAAGAATTCAGAGGTCCTGTCCGTGCGGTCCAGGACGACGGGACTCGAGTTGAGAGCACAGCGCTCTCTAGACTGGGTGTTTTAACCCCAAGCTGTCCAAGCCTCAAGGCCTGGCCGTCAGGGCGGTTCAGCGAGAAGGCCCGCTGGGCCGGCAGCCTCGCCGAGTTCTTGAAATCGGCTGGAATTCGGAGCCTCTGCTGGCAGCGCAGTGGCGGCCTGATGGGGCAGCCGCGCCGGGGGCTCACTCCCAGCGAACCTGCCCTGGGCGGGTGCAGGGGGGCCCAGGGCCTGCAGTTTCAGCGACCAACGGGGTCGCGGGGCCTAAGACCGCCACCCAGCGGGCGCCCCACGGCCCAGCTGCCGCCGCCCCTCCCCAGTTCCGTCCCAGCCGCCCCCAGCCCTGCCCGGCCCAGTCGCCCTGGCCCCGCGCTCACCCTCTCCTCCTCGGCGCGGATGTCGGGCATGGTGCTGAGGCAGAGGCCGACCGCCGTGACAGCCACGAAGGCCACGGACACGCAGGCGAAGAGCTTGCCGGCCGGGCCCGAGCGCGGGTCGTCCAGCACGTCGCGCAGGCGCCGCCGGCCGCGCGCCAGCCGCCCGCCGCCGGACCCAGGGGCGCAGGCCG